GAATTAACTATTGCGCCAATAAGTAGCCACGAAGTTATTAAAAAAGGTGTTTAGGATTAGGCTTGTACCTAATTTGTGAATATTTGAATAAATAAAAAAAATGTAAATAATGAATATATGAATTTAAAATAAACAGTTTTAACTGTTTATTAACACTTGTGGAAGATTAAAAAAAACAGTATGGGTTACACTCTACCAACAGGCAAATTCAACACCAAAAAGGTGAAAATTATTCTTTGGGCAACCTCAGGGTAAAATTCTAGAATTTTATTTAAGGGGCACTTACCGAACCTAATTCAGTATCCAGTGATTTACATAGGATTTGCCTATATAGTAAAAGGTGTAACTTACATGTATACAAGTGAAATGTATGTGAAAATCCAGAAATTTCCAAAGTGAGGTTATCTACAGGTTTGGTCTCACTATTAGATAGACTATGGTATGGTAAGTGAGTCATGAGTCCTATCCACGTTGTATCTGTTTAGCGTAGAACTCGACGTGGTTCTGCCAGAGTGGTACCAAGAGAGTTGCTGAAGAATGGCTACCAAAGCCCCAACTGAGAGCAATCCAGATCCAGTCTAGAATCTCTCTAAATACAGCCTAGCAACTGTCCAACTATAGCCTAATACTGTCTAGCTACAGCCTAGCACTAGGAGTAGGAGTAGGATTGTCCAACTATAGCCTGAGACTAGGATTGTCCAACTATAGCCTGAGAGTAGGACCCTATAACGATGTTCGTATAAAAAAACAAATCGAGCCCCAAATATTAGAAATAATCTTACCTCAAATTGAGGGATACTCTAGACCAAAGGTGAAGTCTTAAACTTCCAAATGCTGGTCGGAACAGTCCTATTAAAAAAAATGGAACACGTGTTGTAAGTTAATATTTCCTGAAGAAAATCTCAAACTTACCGAAACAGAATCCAAAAATGACCAAGGGACGACTCTAGACAATTATGAGCAAGAAATTAGTCTAAAACTTGAGCTCCCTGGCACAAAATTCCAAAAAGTCTCACCCCAAAAATAATTAGGGCCGAAGCCCGAGACCGGACGACTACTCAGCGTGAGGTCGCAGATCAAAAAGGCAGATTCTTCATTTAGAATTTAGATTTCGGAAGAAGACTTTCATCTGTCAAACTTCTAATTTTGACATTGAAGAAAATTATAGAAAAGGACGTGTTCAGTTTCACCCCAAAAGTACGAACTGAGAATCGGTTGTGTAAAAAATGACTGGTTAATGTTGAAAAGTGCCTATAGAACATATATCAAAAGGTAGAACAGGTCTAAAGAAAACGCCTAGACAAAACAGCTGTTCAATGACATGATGGAAATGAAAAGTCAAAGAGTACAAAAAAACAACAATTATTATCATAACCTCAGATTATTGATTGGATTTGCAAACAGAGATGGTGATGGTACTAACTCCTTTTCCTAAGATTCTAATCAATAACAGCGGGCCCTGAGCCCTGCCGTACTGAATCAAACCTTCCTAGATCAATTAAAAAAACTTGCAAACCTGCACCAAAAAAACTTCTAGTAGAAGGCAGCACTCAAGGTAACAAAATCTGGGCACAAAAAAGATAGTTGTTTATTCATTTATTTCATTGTAGCTCTATATGGAATCATATCCAGTATGGCAAAACAAGAGAGGTAGCTTATTAGCCAAGAAATTGAAAACGTTACAGAGCTATTTTACTCTAAACGCCTGTTCAACTCTAATAATAGACAAAAGGAATCATGGGCCATCGTTAACGAAATCACTAATAGAGCAAATAAGTCATCTCAAATAAACATCGATGCAAACCTCTTAAATAAATATTACTGCTCAAATGCTGATAATTTGACCAAAGACTCACCATTCAATACAGATCCACTCATTTATCTGTCAAATATCAACACCCCCGAACATTTTCATGCGTTCCACCCAACTACCCCTCACGAAATTCTAAAAATAATTAGTTCCATGAAAAATAAAAAAGCTGAAACTGATGATGGTATTTCATTGAAAATTCTGGAGAGCCTGCCCAACAGAGCCATCGCTACTTTATCTGATGTAATCAGTTTTTCTTTTATGACAGGTACCTCATCGTCTTTTAGGATTGTTAAAGTCCTCCCTCTATACAAAGGTGGTGATCACGCCTCATCCTCTAACTATCAACCAATTTCTTTATTGTCAACGCTGTCAAAACTTATTGAGAGTCTGGTAAAGTCTCGACTCATGTCATTCTTAGGCGAAAACAATATTATAACTAACGATCAATTTAGATTTCAGGCAAAAAAAAAAATACTTCTGACCCTATGTTTCAGTTTCTCTCGAGAGTTTTCCGGTCCATTAACGAGCGTGAGGCTTCGGCGGCGGTATTTTGTGATTTATCTAAGGTATTTGATTGCGTAAGTCATGAGGTATTGCTGCGGAAGCTTTACGCCTATGGTGTCCGTGGAGGGGCCTTGGAGTGGTTTGGTAGCTACTTGCGTTGCCGTGAGCAATTCGTTCACGTGGATGGGGTGTCATCTAGCAGACAACGTACCTTATGCGGCGTTCCCCAAGGATCTGTACTGGGACCCATTCTCTTTTTAATTTTTTTAAATGATTTAACCCAACTTGAAAACTCTGGGCTATTCACGTTGTTTGCTGATGACACAACCATTTTCTGGCCCAACAGGGACTTAGATCAACTACAACAGAACATTGAATCCGATCTTAAGCAGATCAGACGGGGGTGTGATGCAAATCGTCTATGCTTAAACATGTCCAAAACTCATCTGATTGGTTTCAACTGTGCTCTTCGGGACCCTGACATGGGCGACAACTCCATTTCAATTGTGAATAATTCCTAATTTTTGGGGCTCATAATCAATGAAAATCTTAAATTTTATCCTCACATTCTGAAACTAAATAAAAAGTTGGCCTCTGGCTGTTTTTCGGTGAGAACCACCTTCCAAAAACTGAGTAAAGAAGTAGCACGCAATGTTTATTTTGCTCTTGTCGAGTCACATATTAGATATGCATTACCCTTTTGGGGAGCCTATGCACAAAATCTATTCCAGTCTGTCTTTATTCTCCAAAAGCGAGCAGTTCGGAATTTATGCAATGCTCACCCAAGAACACACTGTAGGCATGTCTTCATCCAATCTACCCTCCCTTTTCATCCTGGAAACAGCATGCTTAATTCATAAAAATAAGCAAAGCCTTCCAAGGCATCAAGACATCAAACCCGTCACAACAATAATATCTCTTTACCAATACCTCACTTTAACCTGGTTAAGAGATCTCTCATCTACAATGGCCTCAAAATATACAATAATGTTGGTTTGGGGATTACGAATACTTCAACACCAAAAGCTCTCCGGAGTCTAAGGCATTGTTATCGGAAAAAGCATTTTATACTATTGACGAGTTCTTTGAGCAATCCTAATTTAGTGTAATATTTAATCTCAATAGTAAACTGGCTATATATTGTTGTTTTTATATTACATTATGTTATATTTTGTATTGACCATTTTTGGCATTTTTTACATTCTTGATTGTTACTATTTTTATTGTTTCTATTGTTCTTTTTATTGGCCATATTTAGAATGCTTGTCTTATTGTCAGTTTTTTTTTCTTTTCTCTTTATTTGATTACGAGTTTATTGACTGTTTGTTTGTAGCTAGGTAGGTCATTGTTGATTTTTTTACTTTTATTTTAGTTTAGTATAGTTTTTAAGTATGCTTTGTCGATAAGACCTATTACATGTAATATTTCTTAGACAATAAAGTACTTTTCATCATCATCATCATCATATTGCCTATGTTTCCTGGTGACCCGCTAACCGTTGCGTTGGTGTCCATGACCTAGGAGTACCTGGACGCTATAATTAATTAATTTTTTAATGATTCTGATAGATATACCTAATTCAGGGATTTTTTTCATGACTAAGTTTTGAATTTAGACGAATGGTGGAAGCCCATAAGTTTGAAAAACCATTCAAAGTCATATGCGACCCAAGCATATGGCAGGATGGAACGCCTCATATGATAAGAAGAGTCCTGGTCTGGCATACAGACGGCTCGAAAACAGAGAATGGAGCTGGTTCTGGCGTACATGAAGAAAGATCAAGATCAGAACAAAGCATCCTTCTAGCGCTTAACGCCACAGTATACCAAGCAAAAGGCTAGGTTATAATAACCAGAACCTAAGCATTTTCTTGGGCAGTCAGGCTGCTCTAAAAGCTCTGAACCTCTGAACATCGATTTACTTCGAAAATAACGATGGAATGCCTACACAACCTGGAATCTCTGTCGTTAGGAAATAACAGGATGTAGCTCCTGTTGGTTCTTGGGCTCTCGGGGATAGAAGGCAAAGAAAAGGCTGACTAACTGGCCAGATTGGGCGCAGCTGCACCCTAAACAAGACCAGAACCAGCAGTTTTGTATGTTCTGACGCATTTTCTGCCTCAACTTATTTCTCCCCCCTCCCTTCCCCACCCTCTACATATACATGAATTTTGCTTAGAATTACTAATCCTAAAATTCAATCCATGTTTGCTAACTGGGGAAATAAGTACCGATAATGGTCACTGCCTCCTGGACTAATTTCCGGCGTTGGTGTTTTAACATGCGTATGAGGATAACTTGATGAATTTGTTGGGGAGCAAAATTATAATTCATAGTGGTTTTTTGAAGGTTTACTCCTAAATGTATTTTTTTTTACCGAAGGCCGCAGAACGACTCGGAGAAGATTTTATGATTCAATAGCCAGAAGCTTGGGTTATTGTAAGTAATAAGCTGGAAGACGAAAGGATTTATTTTTAAACAAATATCGCTACAATATTGATCGTGAAGAATAATGAATGGGAAGGAAAAACCACCAGGATTACTGAAAGACCCGAACTGTTTGTATCACCTTGTGCAATTGAACAAATATGCTCTACCTTTTCCTTGATGTTTTTTTCACAAACGTTCTTTATGCAAGTTTCCTGTTGCATCTGGCATCAAAGTTTATTATTTGTTCTTTCCAGCTCGAATATGATTTCAACCAAAACAGTCTCTCCGTGACTGTTATCCAAGCTGAAGAACTACCCGCTCTGGATATGGGTGGTACTTCTGATCCGTACGTGAAAGTTTACTTATTACCCGACAAAAAGAAAAAGTTTGAAACTAAAGTTCATCGGAAAACCCTAAATCCGGTATTCAACGAAACGTTCGTCTTCAAGGTAAGAATCGACATTTTCTTAGACTAGTTTGTCATAATGTTGCATTTTCCAGAGTATTCCTTATGCTGATGCCATGAACAAGACCCTAGTGTTCGCCATTTTCGATTTCGATCGATTCTCCAAGCACGACCAAATCGGTGAAGTTAAGGTGCCACTATGCCAGATCGATTTGGCGCAGACTATTGAGGAATGGCGCGAATTGCAGAGTGTAGAAGGAGAAGGCGGCCAGGTGATATCATTTGATTTCTTTAAGTGTTATGAAGTTATTTTCCATTATCTTTTTCTCTTTATTGGTAATGGCAAAGAACTCGATTCTGAAAAAAAAAAACGAAGATTTTACAATCACAAATTTTCAATTCTTTTTGCTTTAAAGAAACAGTTAAATTAGGTTAGTAATAACATCTAATCTTTGCTATTAACAATTTTGTTTCCTAATGATGTAATTAGATTAACTAAAATAGGTTGGGTGTGAATTTCAACTAAATTATACAAACTACCTTTATATTCATTATACTACCGCCTTACACCCAGTTCGGACCAATATAAGTAACAAACATAAAAAATAACATGCACATTTTTACTCAAAAAGGCAGCTCTTTACATTTTTAACGCCTATCAAAATAAAATACCTACTTTTAATTCTTTTATAGACGAAAGAACTTTTTTTGCTTAAAGAATATTTCAAACCACCACAATACAGTAATTTTGAACTGATTTATTTATTAAGCCTTTATAAATGATGCAACACTTAAAAAAAAAAAAAACTAGAATCTTACAAAACACATATACACAAAAATAATTTTTAATTATTGCATCAATTTATTTGCAACTTTTATATGTAGATTCTAATTTATTACATTTTTGTGCACACCAACTTAAGTTTAGATATTTCACAGAGACTTTTGTAGATTTTTTTGATTCTATAAGCTTTTTTTTATATTTCATAACGATACCGGAGTTGCTTTTTTACCATTTTCAAAGTATATTTACAGGAGTAACATTAGTCCAGTCATTAGGTAAATTAAATTATTAAAATTTTCCTAGAATAATCTGAAACTTTAATATAACATGACACGTAGAGCAACAATAATGAATAATTTGAAAATTTGTTCATACCTTGAAACCTGATGAAATCCTTGAACGAAAGCTACTTGCCTATGTCGCTTTGAATAGCTACTATTGGATTTAGGACAAAAAAATTTTTTTTTTAAATTTTTCCAGTTTTTAAGATCAAATTAAAATGTTCATTCAAGCACCCTGGCGCACCTTTTCATATTTTGTTTTTCTTTGGGTCTTCATCATACATCAATGTTTGTTTGTTTGTCCCTTATGCGCTCCTACACCACTTTTCCGATTACGATGAAACTTTGGTAGGTTGTTGTGGCCATCCCAAGGAAGGTTTCTGACATCCTCACGAGGATGCCTAAGGATGCGTGCAACGTGCAACACACGAAAATGCAGGGACTCTTGATGGATTGGCGAATGCTTGCGTTGTTATTCTCATAACCATTTCGTGAAAATCATTGTACAGCTATTTTATATTCTAGTATATGAAAATCAATGTTTGTTGGTTCGTTTTTTATGGACTCGGAAACCGCTGAACCGATCTCCTTGAAATTTATACCACGTAGTCTCTATTATTATTAATTAATTTTAAAAGCAAAACGATTATCCGGAATTTGTCGGAAAAATTGATCTAATTAATCGGTAACTGTCATTCACTTAATAAAACAAAAATTTTAAGAATTTTCGGGTGTGAGAAAAAAAAAATTGAAAACTAAAAACTCGAGAGATTTTTGAAACGATTCGTCTTTGAAGAGTAAAACCGATATCGTTTTGGGTTCAAGAGTTTTCGGCGGCGGAAATTTATAAAAAAAAATTAATAAACTGAAAACTGAAGAGATTCTGGAAACGGTTCGTCTTCAAAGACTAAATCCGATACCGTTCCAGGCTCGAGAGTTTTCGGTGGCGGAAATTATAGAGAATTGATAAATTACAAAGCGAAAACGGCAAAAATTAAAATAAAAAAAAATTTAATCGGATTGAATCGTTTACTGAAAGGGATGACGGCTAAGTAAAAAAAAAATTATACAGGTGGAATTAAATTAAATCAAACGGTAGTACTAGTAGGAAATTCACTTTTCCTACAGCCGTGCGGAAAAATCGATTTTCCGCACTGATATGCGTGCGGAAAATGAGTTTTCCCGCACGGTGCGATAAAACTTTTTTTTTTGACATATCAGTGCGGAAAAAGTTTTTCCGCACGGCTGTCAGTGTGGAAAAAATTTTACCGCACTGATATGTCAAAAAAAAAAAAAGAAAAATTTTACATTTTTTCGCCTGTAGGAAAAATATTGTACCTAACACTTGCGGAAAATATTTTTCCGCACTCGGCTGCATCACCGGTGAACGGCAGCCGCGTGCGGAAAAATTCATTTTCCGCACTTGTTAGGTAAATAGCTATTTTAACAAAAAAAAATCACTTTTGAGTTTTCACTAGAAAAAAAAAATCACAATTGGCGCGGTTCTTCCGGGTGTTTCGGAGGTCGGCAATCTAGTACCACCAATTTTTCCTCTTTTCCTCGTTGAGTACTCCTCCCTACTTTGGTTATCTCGTCACGGAACGACGTCGGGTAGCGTAGAAGCAGGGCGGTTATTTAGTAGCGGCGATAGTATCTCTAATAGGATCCGAAAATCGATTCGGATGTGGTATGTCAGTGGCGGGTAGCGGGAAAAAAATAGTAACTTCGTTACACAGTTCTAGTATAATTTTTTTCCGGCTTTCCAATTTTTACATGTCTTACCTAGAATTCTTGGGGCGGATCAGATAATCAGTTCAAGATTCTGGACATTCAAATATACCTTCCTGGGGTACTAATTGAATTCGTTCTGTCGAAATACGTTCAATTAGGAGATACATATCTATATAAGTTATCTCTTGCCATCCGTCTTGGTAACTGGATTGGAGGGGAAGAATAAGCGAAAAGTTTGGGAGTGGAAGGAAGATTGGAACATTGTGAGTGGAAACGGAGTGCCAACCACTAACTTATCATCTACTAACTTTTTTTTTTTTTTTTTTTTTTTTTTACGGATATGCGCACTCGCAAGGAAAATGTCCTATCACGCTCGAGAAGCGGCAAGTGCGCGGAAATGTCGGTGTATGTTGGTCTTGAAACGGTTCAGGTTGTAACCTGCAGGGAAAACCGTCGCAGGGAGTTTATTCCACAGCGATGCTGTTCTCCAGAGATATGAATTCTGATATAATGAGGTTCTTGGTGCCTCTAGTTTGACAGTAAATTCATGGTTACCATCTGTTTGACGGGTTCGCCTGGTAGGCGCTACTCTCGGTGGAATCATACGTGCCAACTCTTCAGAGCATTTTCCGTGATAGTACCTGTAGAAGAGAGATAAATCGCCCACAGATCTGCGGTGTTCGAGACCATCCAAGTTACGAGTAAGTGCGGGGTCATTGATCAGCTTGATAGCTCGTTTTTGCACGGTGTTCAAAAGCATTAAGGTATGTTTGGGTGCTGCACTCCATATATGTGAGCAGTACTCCATAGTTGGTCGAATCTGGGCTTTGTAGAGTGTCAGCAATTGGCTTGGTGTGTACAGATGTCTTGTACGAAATAGCACCCCCAGCTTTTGGGAGGCCCTTTTAGCAATATCTGCCACGTGACTGTGCCAAGACATGTTGGTCTCTGCAGTAACCCCCAAGATGTTCAACTGACTCTGTAATGTGACAGCACTTCCAGATGGCATGATGTTTGGCTCACCGGTGCTGGTCTTTTTTGAAAACAGAGCTGCTTGGGTTTTCTGCGCGTTGAACTGTACAAGGTTTTTGTTACCCCAGTCCTCTATTATCTCCAGGTCGTTATTTATCTGCGATATTTGAGTTAGTCTAACATGATGGAATTCACGTGCGGAAAGACCTGTGGGTGGTATGAGTGAGGAGACTACATTACCATCGTCTGCAAAGCAATAAAGTGGATTTACTGTTTTATCTATGAGGTCATTTATGTAAATCAGGAAAAGAGTTGGCGAAAGGATTGCTCCCTGTGGCACACCAGCATTTATTTGGTAAGAGTTGGAGTTCTGGCCATCCAGTGCAACATAAATGGATCTGTCCTTTAGGTAACTTTCAAACCAAGTGCAAAGTTTCGGCGATAATCCCATTGCTTTGAGCTTGTTGAGCAGATTTTCATGCCAAACTTTGTCGAATGCTTTAGATATATCTAAGGCAATTGTTCTTGTTTCACCCCGCAACTCAATCGCTTTTTGCCATAAGTGAGTGACGTATGTAAGTAAATCGCCAGTTGATCTATATTTTCGAAATCCGTATTGCTTATCGTTGATAATTTTGTACTTTTCCAAGTACTTGGTTAGGTGATTGTTCACAACTCTTTCCATTACTTTTGATATCACCGGAAGTAGAGCAATTGGTCTATAGTTTAACGGATCTGTCTTTTTTCCTTTCTTTGGAATGGGTTGTACTGCGGCAGACTTCCATGATGATGGATATACTCCTTGCCTATAAGACAAATTGAATAATTTTGCGAAAGTTGGGGTGAGTTCGTTGGCGCAATTTTTGAGTACTATTGCGGGAATGCCATCCGGACCCATTGCTTTGTTTGTATCTAGCTTTTTAAGGGATTTTCGTATTTCTCTGTGACAAAAGGGTACCTCTGGCATACTATGGGAAACCCTTTCAATGAACGGTGGAGTTTTTCCGTTTGGCACTGTTAGGTTGGAGTTGGAGGAAAACATTTGGGCCAGCATATTGGCTTTTTCCTCTGATGTTGTGGCTAAGTGATTATTTTTATCTGTAAGTGGTGGTATGGATGACTTGGTGAAGTTAGATCCAACAGCTTTTGCAAGAGACCAAAAGGACCTAGAACTACTTGGACAATTCAGCAACCTGTTTTTTATTCTTTGATTGTATGTTTCTTTAGCGGAGTCAATAGTAATTTTGCAACTATTTCTGGCTTCTATAAATTCTGTGTGGTTTTGAGCGGTTTGTTGTCGTTTCCAAAGGTTATATGCTCTGTGTTTTTTCTGTACAGCCGTTTGAGACTGGCTGTTGAACCAAGGTTTTGCATTAGCTCTACGTTTAGTTGTATGTGGGATATATGCATCCATTCCAGATAAGATTACTTGTGTTATTTCATTACAGCAAATAGTGGGATCAGCTGTTTTAAAGCAAACCTCTTGCCATGGAAAATCCAGGTA